ATATAAGTAGGTGAAAATATTAATAAACGGTTTAGATTATAAGATAAGTAGGTGAGCCAGAATTGGCATTTCTATACTACTTTTACAATTAGAGATGCTTTGTAAAAACTTATTATATCAAGCAAATGGCAATGACAAATTAAAAAAATTATTTTTAATCAAAATTTTGCAAGAACAAAAAAATTTATGGATATCAAAATGTCTGGGAGAAACGAAAATTGAAAATAAATGCCATCATAATTAGATATTAGCTGCAATTAAAGCCCTGAATGAAGAGGATATAACCTTATATAATCATGAAGTTAAAAACATAAATGAAGATCATAGAATAAAAGGAGGAAGATTAGATATATTAGAAATTTTGGATAAAAAATTCATAAGAAGCAGCGCCACCTCAAGAAGAAACAAAGACGTAATGTTCTTAGAAGACCTACTCGAAGCAGATGGTATTAACATGTTAAAATGGAAACATTTGTGTAAGGAGAAAGGATTAAACACGAAAGAGAAGACTCCAAAATGGTTCATAGATATAGAAGGAAAAATTTTAGAAGACGAAAATAGAATAATTAGGAAAATTAAAAAAGAATATATAGGACAAGTTGTAAAAAGTAATATTCATATTAATCTTTTCAATGAGAACAAGAAAAAAATTAAAAATAAGATTATTACATGGAATGAAGAAGGAGATTTTCCTATTTTTTGTGAGGATAAGAAAAAATCTCAAAGTAAAAAACATAAGAAGATAGGTTTGCACTTAGAACTTATTAATGACAAAATAGATATAAATAATTCACCTTTTCTACGAAAATGCGAAGGGTGCTTTAGAAATATCAGAAAAAAGAATAGAGAAAACAAAGAATGTCTTATATATATAGAAGAAGAAGCTAGCAGATTAATAGAAAAAAGAAAAGAAAATAATTATATAAAACTGTATGAAATCTTAAACAATATAATCAATAAAAACAATTGCGTCAAAAAAGTTATAGAAATAGAAAATAGAGATGAAAATTACAGCGAAAAAATAGAAAAAATAGATAATATAATTCAATCAGAAAAGGAATTTATTAACATTATATCTATGAAAAAGATGAAAAAGAAATTAATGAAAAATCTAAGTTTTTTTTAATTATAGATACGATAAAGACCAAATTAAAAATTGACGAGAGAGGAAAAAAGATTTATGGTTTTAAGACTATCTGGAAAATTATTAAAGAGAAGAATAGGATATTAGAAGAAAATTCAGAAACATTCTTATTAGCGAAACATGAGGGTAATAGCGATAATGAATACAAAATAATTCTAAGAAGTTTAGTAATGGGTCTTTTAATAATAGAAAATAATAGTGAGATAGTATTAGGAATAAATGAGAACGTCTAAAAATTAATTTTCGACTTTACAAATAATATCAGTAACAGAAGGAAAATAGATAGCGATTATTATTTGGAATTACTATTTATTGAAAACTTTCTAGAAGACAACAAAATAAAAATTGCGAAGATAAATGATTATGATCACAGAATAACAAAGAGTTTGGGAGTCAAAGCAAGAGAAATTCTAAAAGAAGAAAATAATACGTTAGAATATAACTTTGAGATAAATAACGAGGCCCTCTTAATCAATGAATTTAATTTATATTGGAATCAAAGATTGATTACTGGAGGATACAGAAGTTGGAGGAAAAAAGTTACAAACGCAATATGGAAGAACGAGATGCTAAACAGTAATAGATTAGACGATTTATTCATGTATAATTTCAAGAAAGAATTCAACTGGAAAACTACCTTGGAATTTATAAGTAACAGAATAGAATTCTCTAAAAGGCAGTGTGGAGATAAAGATACACATGAAAGATCATATAGGATTAAGAACCTTTTAAAAGAACAACTAACTTACAAAGTATTATATCAATGAAACACTAACCTAATCGAGGACATAAATGCATTAGGTGCAGAACTGGTGAAATAGATATATATGGATCTGCCAAGATAACGAATCAAATTTAAATGAAATTATATATGAGTTGATTAATTTATTCGAGCAACAATTAAAAAATCTGAATCAAGAAGAAAATATAAAGATCATAAGGAATTTTAACATCGAATTTTTAAATATCTTAGAAAGTCCTTCAGTTATCTTAAGAGGCAAAAGCAGAATTTGGAAATTGATTAGAGGTATATATAATAATCAATTCAACAATCTATTCAAGAAAAAAGAAGAAACAAATTTAATAAAACGTTTATGGAGATTTACATACAACGAAATCAAAAATCAAATATGGATTCCGAGATGCGATGAAATTAAAAGACTAGAAGAAAAAGAGAATATTAAAAAGACTGATTTAAGAAAAAGGAAAATCGATCAAAAAGATAATTTGGATAAGAACAAGGGAAAAAGAAAATTGAAAAAAACAAAAACAGAAGATAATATAGAAAAAACAAATAAAAATAAATTAGAAAAAAATATTAAATTAGCAACGCTTACGAAGCTTAAAGGTAAAATAGTAGACAGGATCAATATAGATAATATATGGGATATGACAGTTAAAATAGCAAATTATATAGACTAAATAGGTATTTTAATATAGATTTAGGATTAGATTTTACTTAGTTATAGGGATTTAATAATTATTTATAATTATTGAAGCTCTAAGTATTTTACCAATTAATTATACAATTTGTATCAAATTTAAATAATTAATAAAATGCGTTACTATTTAAAAAAAAAANAAAAAAAAAAAAAACAATAACTATCACATTAAAAGTATACTATTACGAATGTAATGTGTAACATTCGTCGAAATTTAACTGAAATTTTACCGATTTTCTGAAAATTATTTACCGAAAAATTTTACCAAGAATTATTTTACAAGAAATTTTTCATTGGCAAATTTAATGTAATACTAATTAAAATTTTAATATAAATTATTTATTCCATTATAAAGATTCATTCTATTAGATCGGAGAATATTCTAATTCTAGTTTATTATAAAAAATATTAATAAATAAGTTACATTTTTCGTAAATAATAATACAGTACGTATTTGTAAGAATAAATTCAGAAATTTTCAGTTTGTTACAATGAGTAAATATGATATCATGTTTGAGTTACATTACAATAATTAAATTTTATACATTTGATAGTTATAGAATTAGAAATAAGAAGAATATAATTTTAATAGACTATTACAGTATTCTAATTCATATACAGTATATGGTTGTTTTTATGAAAACTTATCTAATAAATTTATCTTTGATCTTTGAACGTTATTTAATTGGAATTTAATATACTAAATATACTTGAAATGATATAATATAACTCAAATTCTTATCATAATTGAAAATAATTTGTAAAATCTAATAAACCGTTATTTCTTATTTAAAATTGACAACGCATACTGTGTTGTTGAATTATATAAATTGTAACTTGGTTGATCTATAATTAACTAAAATACAAAAATATAAAAATTTGATGTAATTTTATTTATGAAAACAGGTAAATCATTATTTTTTTACTTTTAAATAATTATTTTTGACTGAATTTCACAAATTTTTAATATTTATTAATTTGATGACAATATTAACATTTACTTTGTACCATTTAACGAAATCAGATAACGAAGATATTGATGCATCAATACGACAATCACAGGGGACTCTTCCTGACAATCTTTCAGACCAAAAATTTTACGAAAGAAAATTTTTATTTTATTGACAAAACTTTTAATAAAATATAATATTAAATAACAAAAATGGAAGAGACTCTAAAACAATACATGAACGAGTATTATAGAGGCTTTACAGGTTTTGAGATAGAACATTTAGAAGACTTTACAAAATGTTTAAAAGAATACAAAAATTTTAATTTAGCAGAATATGAGATTTCACACTTAGATAAAGATATGTTATTTCCACCAGGCGACATAAAAATAGGTGTTCGAGACGCAAGAACAACAAAAGAGAGTAATATATATAAAAATATTTTAATGGATATCGCAGTCTTCACAATGAAAATGGGCGGCGAAAATGTTAAAAGAATCTTTGAAACAATTCTCCTGGAAAATTCTCAAGCGGGCACAACATCGCAAGGCACAGAAACAGCAAATAAAGAAGACGCAGTTATGATGGAACAAGAAGATTTAGGAAAATTTTTAAAACATTATCTATTACTTTTTTATAAGGACTTCATAGGATTTGAAGAACATCACGTAGACGATTTTGCAAATGCTATAAGATTAAAAAAAAGAGTTAATTTAGCAGATTACGAATTAAAGTATATGGATAGAGACTTAATATTATTACCAGGAAAATTGGGACTAGGCATCAGAGACGGAAAAAAAACAAAAGGGTGACGATACATTCAATAAAGACAATTTAATGGATTTCGCTGCCTTTACAATGAAAATGGCTGGCGATACTACCAAAAAAATTTTGGAATTAGTGCATGCATTACTTCTGAAACATTCCACAGCAAAGAAGGCCACATTAGAAGAATTACAAAAGACAAAGGACAAATTAAATTCTGTGAGAGCCAAATACAATGAGGATAAAGAAAAGATAGACATTTTAGAAAAGGAAAAAAAAATGGCAGAAGAACGAATAAAAAGTTTAGAAAATGATGTGATAATATTGAAGGAATTAGAGAAGAATAAACCAATGAGTGAGATTTCCACATCTAGTAAGCCGATAAGTAAGACAAAAAGTCACGATCGACGCAGAAAATCCAAAAAAAAGAAATCATCGATACAAGAAATCAAAAAGGGGAAGATCACCGAAATTCCAGTTCAAACAACCTCCGATAATGATTATCTGACTAAACATTTTGCCAAATAATCACGTGACTTGAAATTTTACGATTTTCCAGCTTATTGGAAAGATAATGAAATTTATGAATCTTTAAAACAAGTAGGATACATAGAAAGATTAGAAGTCAAATGGAACTATAAATATAGGACTGTTCGAGCTAGAATTAGATTAACAAAGGAAATGAAAGACATTTTCATGAAAGGAGGATCTAATATAGCAATCAAGAAAAATAACGATCAGTTTTATTATTTTAGGATGTTCGATGCAAAAATGAGTGCCACCGATATAAAGAAAAGATACGAATGGCAAGCATACAAAAGAATTCCAAAAGTATATTTAGATAAAAATGATTTTGTAGTTACAAAAGCGTTCAATTTGAAGTTTGGCGGTCATTTTTCAAAAATAATTAAAATTAACAAAATCAAATATATTTTGATATATTTTAACAACGAAAATGATGCGTTAAACGCAATATATAAATCAAATATGGAGGATAATATAGGAGAAGGGCTTAAATAAAAAGTCAGGATGAATTAATCAGTGAGAATGGAACGTATAAAAAACGTTTTGGTATTAACAGATTTAAAGTCCCTCAACAAACAAAGAAGGATAAATTTGTTGACGCAAAATCTGATTTAATTTCAACAATTCCACGAACTCAAGACGAGCATGAAGAATTAGATGTTTTAAACGAAAATTTTAAAGAACGCTTAGAAGAATTGGATAAAGATAAAAAACCAAGCATGTCTATTACCAAAGGGAAAAAGAAAGTTGTGGATACTTTGGATGATGATGTTGAAGAAAAAACTAATATAAACAAAAAACGCATAGTACAAAAGCAGGGAGAAAGGGACAATTCGGATAACGAATAAACAAATTATATCCCAAAATTTTTAACAAAATTAAAAATTTTACAGAAATGACGATACTGGAATTTGATCGAAGTCTTTATTAACAACGGAGAGTTTTGTTACGATTACTTGGATATTTTCCACGATAGAGTATTTTAGTTTCCTTTTAAAATTTTTATTATTAAATTTTTGCTTTATTTAGAACATTTTTTTTTTTTGCTACAGTAGATACAGTAGACAGTTTTTTTTTATTATTTTTTTTTTTTTCTTCACAATCAGTTTAGAAATTTTTAAGAAAAATGTAAAGCCTCAAAACATAAAAAATATCAAAAATCCAAAAATATAGAAAAATTTAAATAGTAACGTAGTATAAAACAATATTAATTTGAAATCATACACAATATATTAGTTAGATTTTAAATTAGAATTTAGATAGATAAAACTCAGTTATAGGGTTTAGTAAGTCTTTGAACTTTCTTTGCTCTATGTGCTTATATGTATAATTATTAGATCCTTGTCATCGGGCTGGTAGTGTGCCTCGCTACGCTCATCCCACCTCGGCCTCGTGGCCTCGCAGTACCTACATCCCCCCTTCGTGGGGTAGAGAATTCCCCATATATACTAACGCCATGGCCACAGTGGCCATGGCTGGTCACAGTACTTTCCAACTTCTTTTTTTTTATCCATTTTTTCTTATATATTAAAACTACTATGACCACTATGACCACTATGACCAGACTACTAAAAAGTGGATAAAAACACGAATAAAGCAGAAATCAGACAGAATATCCGGTCATAGTACTGGCCATAGTTCGAAAAATATATGATAATACTATGACCACTGAACTATGACCGCCGAACTATGACCACCGAACTATGTCCACCTTAGTAAACTCCTCAGGCTCCAAAACCTGATTCATGCTATGATTACCCTTTATCTACTTACCTGGGACACTGAACTATGCCACCGAACTATGACCACTGAACTATGGCCACTTGCCCTAAACTATGACCACTTATCCCGAACTATGACCACCGAACTATGACCACTTGTCCCGAACTATGACCACCGAACTATGACCACTGAACTATGACCACCGAACTATGACCACTTGCCCCCGTCAGAAAAAATACATTCGGCAATTGAAGATTAGGTAACTATAAATTAGTACTCGATTTGATAGAACAAAAAATGGCCGCTCAAGTTCTAGCGATCTTTAACCCCAACAACCGTTTCTTCTACGATGACCTTCTTAAAAAATGTGTAGGTACACAAACGAAAGAAAGCGTCAATTCAGCAATCTTGGCTTCTGTGGCTTTCATCACCACAAAATCCGGCATGTGGATTAGAAAAAAGAAGGCTTACAATGGAAGCATATACTTCAAGTTCACCGCAGATCTCAAGGGGATTTCTACTAAGCACAAGGTAATTATTCGGTCAGATACCGGAGAAGACAGTGATGCGACCACATCCACCAAATTAAAGGATCTTCTTCTCCAAGCCTCAATCGCAAAGATCTGTTATACAGATGTAAACTTCATGCCTTATCCCCCAAATGCGCCAAAGTATAATCCTGAATTCTTCAATCTCTTCCTAGGTTTCAGGGCCCAACCCGCTGAGCGCATCAAACCAAACCTAGTTAATCCAATCATCCGACACGTTCATGAGGTATGGTGTGCAGAAGACAAGCAATTAACCATATACATCCTCAACTGGCTCGCATTTCTAATTCAAAATCCAGACAAAAAACCCGGTACAGCAATTATCATGCGCAGTCCCCCCAGATGTGGTAAGAATATCTTAACCGATTTTATCGGAAAACGTATTCTCGGCTGTGAAAATTTCCTCTCTACTACCCGTCTTGAAGATGTAATGGGAAGGTTCAATGCGGCTGTTCGTGCCAAAAAACTTATCATCCTCAATGAATGCGATATGTCAGGCAAAGAATGGCACGGGGCAAACAACCGACTCAAGAGTTTAATCACCGAGCCTTACATTTCTATTGAGGAAAAGGGGATAGATGTGAAGGTTATTGATGACTTTGCTGGCTACATGATCTTCAGTAATCATGCTATGCCAATCCGCATAGAAATGGGAGATGAAAGATTTGTAGCTCTCAACGTCTCAGCCAAATATAAGGGCAATAGAGAATACTTTGGTTCTCTCGTAAAAGTATTAGAAAATCCGGATACAGCCAGTTCCTTCATGTCCTACCTACTTAGCCAAGACTTAACTAGCTTCAATCCCCGATCTATTCCTGATACTCAAATGAAACGGGAGTTAATCGAAGCAAGTATCCCGAATCCCCAGCGTTTTATACAATATTACTTTGAAATGATGTAGCTCGACAATTGCGACACACTTGAAATCCCGTGTACAAATTTCTATAGCACTTACCAGAATTGGTGCAGTGAGAAGGGCGAAAACAAAACACTTAGTGATAATAAGTTTGGCATGGAGATTAAACAATTTATTCCTAAAACCCGCCCAAGATGTTCAGATGCCCGAATAAACTATTACATGCTAAATAAAGCAAAAATTGCGGAGAATTTTAGTAAAGTAATCCAAGATGTACAAGACGTACAGGAAGCACCAGTAGAGGAAGTAGAGTTAGTTGCTGAGAAACCCGCTGAGGAAAAACCCGCACCTATAATTCGCAAGACTCCTCCACCGCTTCCACCTAAGCCTGACCACTTAAAAGAACGTCTACAAGAGTTAAGGGAAGAAAAACTGTCTGCCCCCGAGCTAGATGACTATGACGTCTTAGACGACTTGTTATCAGACTCGGATTCTACAACCGCAAACCCAGTTCCTGAAAAACTGTCTGCCCCCGAGCCAGATAACTATGACATCTTAGACGACTTATTATCAGACTCAAATTCTACAACCATGGACCCAACTCCTGAACAACAACCCGAGTCTCCCGCAGAATATTCTGCATCTGTCACTAAGCCTGACCCAGAACCGGCTCCCGAAGAGCAATTTATCCCAGAACCCGACACAGAACCAGAAGTCGACCGGGATCCTGAACCAAAAGAAGGCACTCGAGCGCACTGGGCTTGGCA